ACAATGGCAACCTTCGATCCCTGCATTAAACCTTAACGAAAATGATTCTAAAATATTCCTAACGTCAGTATGAACATATATGTATGCTTGCAATCAAATTATAACGTAAAAAATGAAGTTCTGAGATCACGATATTTTACCTAACTGGAGCGATTGAAATTGATTATTCCTATGGGCGTTGGGCTTGTGCATGGGGTGGAAATGATCCCTGGAAATTTCATGAACACGTTTAGGAAGTTGACTGGGACTGAAAGTGGTCGGGAGTCAGGTTTTGGAATTTGACAACTTTGAAACTTTTTTGCAAATTCTAGAGAGCACTCTTGAGGCAATGTATCCGTGCATTTGGCTTGCCAAGGTGGTGTATTTATAGTGTAGATGGAGGAGACAAGATTGGATGGAAAGAATCATCACCATAAACATGGATTTTAACACATGATCAAAGTTTGAATAATTGCCCAAAATGGATATTTCATGCCTTTTTTATGTTAGAATGAACCTGGTTACTCCTTGTACGAAATTGTGGGTCTGAAATTAAATCAAACCAAAATCCCAATTGTCATGATCCATCATTTACTATTTTATATAATTTATCTTGTATTTATGTGAATAAAAACAAAATAAATATGAATAAAATAGCTAAAAAATGCAAGGCAAGGTAAGAATCAAATTACAGGTCCTCTATAATCTTAGTAAGATGTTTGAAGTCTAAGAAAATAAGTCATTTCCTCAAAAGTTCAAATTTGCTCAATGCAAAATTCTTGAAATTTCCAAATTTTTCCCAACTTGGGCAAGCCATAACTTGCTCAATGTTTATATCGTGATGATGATCTTGGACTTTTTGGAAATATCAAGATGTCTACTTCAGTCACTCTTTTGACAAATTTTGCGTTTGAAGACTTTATCTTGATGTAAATGGTCTTGACAAAAAGTGTCTTTTATTGACTTTCTGAAAATGACCTGTAATGTATGAACTTGTATCTTTCAAATGGTGCATCTCTTGGACTTGAGGGCTGAAGAGAAGTTGTATGGAATTGGATTATCTTCAAAATGAGATTTGATTGGGGAAAATGGATGAAGTATCTGAAAGTTATGCCTGGTCAAAGTTTGGTTGACTTTTCCTATAGAAACCCTAATTAGCAATTCTTGACTTTTGATGAATTATGAGCATTTCTTGAGGGATCATGATCAAACCTTGATCAAATGATAGATATCACTTAAAAATGTTGATGTTGACCAAAAATCTTGAAGTTTTACTGTATATAGACCATAGTTGACTTTTGACCTAGTACAATTGATTTTTGAAGCATTTGAGCAATTGACTGAGCAAACTTGTAGTGCAAGGTATGAAATTTGTCATGGATAATCTTGAAGACATATTAGGACCATGGAAGACATTTGAGACCTTTGGAGCTCACACATCTTGGTGAAAAATGAAACCCTAGTTGGAAGGCCAATGCTTAGGAGAAGAATTTGTGAGATCAATTCTTGGTTAACCTTGAGCAATTGAGGACCTTTAGGAGTATGTCTTATGTGAAAATGGAAGGGAAAATTTTGGGGTACAACAGTCGTCAAACCTCATTTTCATAGATGATGAGGTATGTTGAAAAACATTATGAACCTTTGAGTATTCAAATTTTTTACGACCATTTAAGGTACATTTTTTTCATGGTAATGTTAGACTCCTACAAAACCAAATCAAAATTTAAGCGGATTACACGGCAAACCGAGTCAGTTGCATCCAAAAAGAGGTACATTGATATATATATATATATATATATATATATATATATATATATATATATATATATATATATATATATATATATATATATATATATATATATATATATATATATATATATATATATATATATATATATATAGAAAATGTTAATTCACTATCTTATACTTCACCTAACTTATATGAGTATGCAACAAGTCAATATGAAGCCTGAAATTGGCAACATGTCTACACAAAAAAAAAAGGATGTTGCAAAGATTGCGGCTAAAAAAGTCTACTTCTCGGTATAGGTCGTGCCTTCAGACATTAATAGGAATATCAGATTTGGCTGACAGAGGTACTCGTAATATACCTATGGAGGAAGGTATTTTTGGTTTTTCTTATTACTAAACAATTAGTAAAGAGGATATGGATCAAGTTTGTAGACATTCAGAATTAGGCTTCGGTGTTATCGATACATACATCAGGTATACTCTGATCAACTTTATTTAATTAATTGAACAATTTATTTACTCATTTCAAATAGTCTTAATGTTAATGGTGTTTTTATTTAAGGTTCGTGTATGACAACTTGATGCGCCACATCAATTGAACCAAAGATTATGTTTCTTATCTCCTAACAATATCAACTTGTAATTTATCAATCAAAAGCCAGATGAAGTCAAAGAGTACATTGTTCATGCATTTATGGCCAACAAAGATACATAAATGTTTTTTTTACCATTTAATATTGGCAATGGGTTAGATTTTCATTCTAACTTCATATATTATAATTTTTCATGTTTTGACGTTTAGTAGAAAGTTTTCATCTAACATTTGTTAATCTTACAGTGGATATTGGTTATTGGTTGTGATTAATCCTATAAGAGAAATTGTATATTATCTGGATTCGTTAGAAGATGATTGGATAAAATACTCAGATATGAAGGAGATGGTTGATACGTAAGTTAGATTGTTCTAAATATTCGTTTGTATATTTATTTATTTATTTATTTATGTGAGATTATTCTAAATATTCGTTTATATTTTGTTAGAGATATACAAATTTTTCGATCACATAGAGATACTCAAGTACCAAAGAGTAAAAGCAAACAACATTACATGGATCCGAGTGGGGGTATATTTTCACAATTTTGATTATATTAGTGAGGTTACTTGATAAAACAAGTTAAACTATATATCCTGATATATATTGGTATTTTTTCCATGTGTAGTGTCCTCGTCAACATAATGGTATAGATTGCGATTATTTCATATTGAGGTTTATGAAAGAAATTATTCTTTTGAATCAAATAGAGATTCCAACTGTGATATAGATTTCTAACTTATGATTTATTTTAATATTTAACATATTTATCTAATTAATTAGTTTTAACTAAATCATATTATGTTATATTATGTAGTACTTTGATGAATACAAGTCTTCTACTTACTCGAAAGATCAATTGGACGAAATTAAGGAGGATTTATGTCAATACATTATTGAGATGAGAATTTTATAAGGTATTGTAACACTTTCATTGATGAGAATTTTGAGTATATATAAGTTTGAGTTTTGATGAGATACTATGTCGTCATTAGTGTGGTAAATTATTTTGCAATGTTGTTGTTGTTATGTGGAAGGTTAGTTATGATGGTATTTGATTTAAATTCAAATAAAATTTTGTTTGTATCATGGTATAAATTGGAGAATTTATAATGGTGGATTATAACAGATTCTTGATTTGTTTTTGTTATATTGCTTTGTGTTAAATTATAATAGTTACATGATTTAAGTGTTATATAGCTTGGTTCTGATATTCCTTTTTGGTTTTATTTCAGGTAGGTGCATATGTAGAAGATATAGAGATAACAAGTTCATTTAGGATTCTTCATTGTTGTTGTTTGTGGAGAAGATGATAGAGAAGATAACAACTCTAGAAGATAGTAATATGTACATTTGGTGCATACTTATTGGATTAAAGTTGTATATATAAATTATTGGATTCTTCAAGTTGTATCAAAATTATGTATATATAAATTATTGGATTAAAGTTGCAAATTTATGAAATCGGGTGCAAATATGAAAGACAACGCTTATTTTAAGTGATTATTTATAGAGAGTGCTTAAAATGTAAGTTGTATATATTAAAAAGTCTGTGAACATTAGACGCTTTAAAGAAAAAAGCGCTCCCTATAGTGGGGAATAGAAAGCGCTTTTAAAGAAAGCGCTGCCTAAAGGGGTGCATTAAAAAGCGCTTCTAAAGTAAAAAAAAAAACACTGCCTAAAAGGGATTTTAGAGAGCGCTTTTAAAGAAAGCACTGCCTAAAATAGATAAAAGAGTGAACAAATATATACATTACACAGCGCTTTTAGAAGCGCTGTCTAGAGTGAAAGCGCTGCTAAAGACTTATTTTAGAAAGCGCTTCTGATGTAAAAAGCGCTGCCTATAAAGGCCATTAGAGAGCACTTATTGAATAAAGCGTTGTCTAAAGGCTACATTAAGTAGCGCTTTCACATTGACAAAAAGTGTTGTCTTTACTTACAGCAGCGCAGGAATAGGCAGCACTTTAAAGCGATGTCTATGGCAAAAAACGTATTGTCTATTTCCTAATATGACATAGTGTTTGATGTTTTACTGTAATTTATTTTATCGTATTTTGAGTCTCTTATAATTGTCCCTCATTCTCTCTTAGGTTGATATCACTTACCATGCTTTAAAATTAAGCATTTGATTAGAGTCAACAAATTATGGCTTGAATCACAAGTTTGAGACTTAAATCAAGAAATTCATACAAGTATGATTCTAATCATGCAAAGTCGGACTAAAATCATAAGTTAGAAAAATTGGAATTTGTCGCTAAAAGTATGATTTGAATCAAACTCTTACATTACTCGAATTTTAAAGTGTCTTACTCGAATCATAATTTGGTCCGACTCGAATCATAACAAAAAATTTATCTTAGAATTCAATTCAAAGAATGTAACTCGAATCAAACAGATAAAATTATTATTTTTTCATTTTAATTCAAATCATTCTCTCACTTGTTTCGAAACATATTTTTGTATTTGATCTTGTAACATTTGATAAATACCATGCTAACAAATTAATAATGGCTATACATAAAAGAAAGAGTATAGGAGAAAGGGAATTTGTTCTTTTGTTTTTAAGACAATAGCAAGGTCTTAAGTGATACAAGGCAAAGAAAGGAGAATAGTAACAATAATGAAAGATTAAAATATCATTTAATCTAACATTAGCATCAATATTTCACCAAATTACATTGAAACGGCTAATTGTGTGTCAAAGATACGATTTAGAGTTGCAGCCAATCGAACTCCTCCTTGAGCTAATCGCAAGTTGACAATTGGTAAACGTGACAGGAAGTAATCATCTGCAAATTCCATTTTCAAGATATAAATTAAAAAATAGTATAAAAAACCATCTCAATTATCTTAGTTGTAAGCTTTGTATAGCTTACCATCAAGTGTTGAACCTTCTTCTGCATCTTCATATGCCCATTTACAAGCGTTTTTACTACTTTCAGAAGCGTATCTGAAAATGTACTTTTTTCAATATAACACTTGAATTTTGCTTGATATTTATAAAGATATTTTAAAAAAGGTTGAACAAAATGTTAACAATAATTAGAGAAATGAAGAATGTAAATCAAAATATCACAAAAATAAATAAATTTCTATTAGAAATATAATTCAACAAAATGAACTAAGATATGTTAATAGAACGTACGTAATAGGGCATGGGATGTCCTTAGATCCGCAAGTCTCCCAATTTTGTACTTGATCAGCCCATTCTCTCTGTTTATTGAGAAAACAAGAAGAAAAATAATGTGAAAAACAAAATTAATTCAAAAACAATGAATCTTTTACATAGAATTAATGAATATTTATTGAGTACCGTAATATTTTGTTGAATTGCATTAACGAACTCGCCTAATTCCGAGTCATAGAATCTTTCAACTTGTGTCTCAATTATGCTAACATCCCAAACCTTTTGATAATGGGATAAAACTAGATATTGAATAGTAGTAAAAATATATGATATGTAGGTGATGAATTTGACAGACATACATGGTGAAGATTTTGTTTTCTTTTGTACCAACGAACGTTAATTTCATTGCCTCCTTTGTCTGAGACAAAACCACAATGAAGAGGCTGATGGATGTCTCCCATAAAATGTGAAAGGAATAGAAGAGCTTGAGTGAAGTTATCTGTATGATATATAGTGATGTTACATTGAGATTGAGTTTGTAAAGAGGAAATGTGTTGGAAAGTGTATTTGAAGTTTACATTGAGATTCAGTTTGAGTGGCATAGTCGAGGAGCTGATCAGTGTAATTGGTAATAGCCGCGACAACACATCGACCTTTGGTTCCAGTTTTGTGATCTAAACAATCCCCTGAATTGAGAATAGCAAAGTGTTTGATTAAATATTGACAAACTATATGAAAATGATTTAAGTTCATTCATCCTTAGCTATAAAAACTCTCATTGAGGAAATCAAAGTTTGTTCATTCATTCATTAACTTGTGTCGGAGATAAATTAACATTACAGGACAACTATTGGACTTTTTCAAAAAATTACCATCTTTTACTACAATATTAGATCACTTATCTTTGTCTCTCTCAGAATACCAATCTCTTCCTCACAATTCCTAGTAAAGGTCATAGATTCATTCCTTACCATCATGGTAGTTAACATAACCCATTCATCCAACTTAATAGTCCAACTCCAATCCATCCATGTGATATTATGTATGGGTCACACTTTATATAAAGTATGGAGTTTTAGTTGGTAAATTAAATTGAATTCATCCATGTCATATTATGAACGTGATAATATGGATGGATCACACTTTATTCACTTTTTTTTTTATAACAAATTTTGCTGAATAAAATATACAATTTACTTATTTATAATTATTTTCAAATAAAATACCAGAAGCTAAAAAAAGAAGAAAAAAAAAAAGAATTCCAAACCATTAAAAATGATTATTCATTCCATAATATTAAAATAAAGATAACATAATTTATTATTTTGGTTTAAGAAATATTTTATAATAATAATAATAATAAATAATAATAATAATAATAATAATAATAATAATAATAATAATAATAATAATAAATAATACTAATAATAATAATAATAAATAATAATAATAATAATAAATAATAATAATAATAATAATAAAAATTAAATAATAATAATATATAATAATAATAATAATATAATAATAATAATAATAATAATAATAATAATAATAATAATATAATAATAATAATAATAATAATAATAATAATAATAATAATAATAATAATAATAATAATAATAATATATATAATCTAAATAATAATAATAATAATAATAATAATATAATAATAATAATAATAATAATAATAATAACTAATAATAATAATAATAATAATATAATAAATAATAATAATAAATTAATAAAATAATAATAATAAATAATAATAATCAATAATAATAATAATAATAAATAATAATAATAATAATTATAATAATAATAATAATAATAATAATTAATAATACTAATAATAATAATAATTATAATAATAATATAATAATAATAATAAAAATAATAATAATAATAATAATAATAATAATAATAATAATTATAATAAAAAATAATAATAATATAATAATAATAATAATAATAATAATTAATAATAATAATAATAATAATAATAATATAATAATAATAATAATATTACTAATAATAATAATAATATATAATAATAATAATAATAATATAATACTAATAATAATAATAATAATAATAATAATAATAATAATAATAATAATAATAATAATAATAATAATAATAATAATATTAATAATAATAATAATAATAATAATAATAATAATAATAATAATAATAATAATAATAATAATAATAATAATAATAATAATAATAATAATAATAATAATAATAATAATAATATATAATAATAATATAATAATAATAATAATAATAATAATAATAATATTAATATTAT